CATCCAGCTCTACACCTTGGTCTAGAAGATATTGGTTGCAGATGCAGAGTATGTTGTGAATAGGAGTGAATATCTTCAGCAAGTAAGTAAAAACATTACTCATGACAGTTGCCAAGAATAAATAAAATCGATGCCCTAGATCTCCCAATTAAGATTGGAAATCATATTTGCAACCCTGAGGTGAATGACGTCAGATATCCCACTGCCCATCTTGGCTCTTTCTGTCCTTTTGTGGGTTGTTTTCACCTGGTGTTAGAGAAAATGAAAGGGATTAAATGAGATGAAAGTAGACGGCCAAAATGTTAGTGTTGATGGGGCGGAGGAAAGGTGGTTAGGTGTCTTGAGTGAGTGAATAGGCAGCACAAAGGCTATTTATAAATGACAGGGATCTTGGAATACAACATAAAATTTCAAAATTTTCTGATGATACAAAACAGAGTGGTACAGACTCATAGATAGTCTAGTGGAATGGGTGTTTAAGCGATAAGCAGAATTCAATACAGAGAAATTGTGAAATGATTGAATTTTGGTCGAAGGGATGGGGAGTCACATTACAAACTGAATGGCACAGTTCTTCTGTATAAGAGGGACCTGAGGCCCATGTGCGTAGATCTTTGAAAAAGGTGGGATAAATTGAGAGCAGTTAGTAAAGCATATGGGATCCTCTCCTTCACAATTAGAGGTATTAAGTACAAAAGCACAGAAGTCATGCTGATGCTTTATAAAGCTCTGACTGGTCTCCAACTGGAGTTTCACATCCAGTTCTGATCACCATGCTTGAGGAATAATGTGAAGATCCTTGAGAGGGAGCAAAGGAGTTTTACTGGAATGGTCGAAGGATTGTAGGGCATGTGGAAGTTTAATTACAAAGTTAGCTTGAAGAGGCTGGGATTATTGCAATCGCAACGAAAGTGGAAAATTTGATGAAGGTAGTCAAGAATATGGCAAACTTAGAATAAGTATACAAGGAAAAACTTTTTCCATTAGCCTGATGGTATATGAACAAGGTGACACAGTTTTAAGGACAGAAGATGCAGGGGAAATGTGAAGAAGACCTATTTTACACGCCAAGTGGTAATGATCTGGAACACGTTTCAGAGATAGTTTCTGAAGAAGGGTCTAGGCCTGAAACATCAGCCTTCCTGCCCCTCTGATGCTGCTTGGCCTGCTGTGTTCATCCAGCTCTACACCTTGTTACCTCATGATCTGGAACACACTGCCCACAAGAGTGCTGGAAGTGGAAACTATGATGTCAACAGGAACATGAATGAGCGCTTGCGGGAAATAAGGCATTGAAGTGCCCGATCAGCCCTGATCAGATTGAATGGCGTATTCCTACTCCTATATCCCCAGCTTTTAGGTCTATGGAGATCAAACAGCAGGGTAGGACTGATTGGATGGCTCTGAGGAAAACCAACATGAATTCGATGAGTCACAGGCCTACCTTTTGAGCGTGAGGAAACCCTGCAAAGTTTTCCTCGCTAACATCTGGGGTCTGCTGCCAAAGTCAGGGAACAATCCTACGGATTAGGCAAGCAATAATTATACTCACAGATTTGTGTCTTCAACATTCCTTGTGTATGTGCTACCTATAGAATGCACTGTAACAAGACACCAACGCTTCTTTGACAGTAACTTTTAAACCTATGACTTCCACCACTTAGAATGACAATGGCAGCAAGTACGTGTCACCTCCAAGTCACACACTATTGTGACCTAGATGTATACCTTTAGTATCAGTGAATCAAAATCCTTTTACTCCTTACCAAGTAACTACACCCGATTAACATAAGAGCTAAAGAAGAGATCCATCCACAAGGATGACCAGGGATGGGCAATACTGATGTTGCAGCACTGAACATGGCCTAAGAATGAGTTATAAATATATAATTACATACCTAATATATTAAACTCATAACTTACTTCAAACTAATGATATACTAAATAATGTAAAATAATGTGCAATATATCAACAATATGCACAATACAGAGAAGGGAAAACTAAAGTAAATTAAAACCATTTTTAACATAATGTCGTTATGAAGGCTTCGTATTTAATATTTCTGAAAACTTCAATTTTGAAGCATTGTGGAAAATACATTAACTTCAAGTTCAGTGGTGATACTGATTGATTTTTGTTTAAAGGTCACAAAAGGAATATGAGCTTTTCTTAACCAATGCATTTCTTGGGAACCATTGGATTACCGTTAATTGTTGGACTTGTTTGCTGGCAGTCAGCTGCCTGGGTTTTATGGCTGCATTGTTTGAATAGAGTTGTGGAGGAAGCTGGAGATTTCGGTTTTCATTATGGGGAAGCCTGCTGGGTAATAGACTACTCGGCTCATCTCTCCTGTTTCTGCAGCACCCATGGATGTGTATTCAACGTGAAAACTCGGCCTCTTGAAGACAAACTGGAAGACTTCTCAGTGCTGAATTTTCTAGGGGAGTTGCATCTGTCAAGAACCCAGAAGCAACTGCCATGATTTATGACCTGTGTGTATAAGAATGGCAGATCGACAGCCACCTGAACATTTCACACCTTATCCTTTTGTTTACTCTTCAAGAACTAACCATTACTGGTCAAAAAGTGTGTTTTTTCCCCTGAGGTAAATCTCTGCAGAGCAGAATCCTTTCTTCCTTTTTACATCATGAATATGCATGTTTTAGATGGGTATTTTTAATTTCATATTACAAGCAGTGTACATGAATCAATTCTGCATCCTTGTGAAACATATTATTTTATAATAAATCAATAATATTGTGCTATTTAAAGAAATCTTGTTGATAAAGCTTTTTTATTTTAAGTCTAATATAGAGAAATCAAGTGACTAGTCATATTGGAAACTGGGTAAAACAATTAAATTGATCTTGTGACCAGTAAAGTGGCAGGATTAAAGAAAGACAATGTACTCTTCCCATCTGGGTCATTATAATAAACAATAGTGTTCAAAAAAGGTGAAAATTAAACATTTTG